TTTGGCACAGATGACACAGGGTCACCTCCAAAACCTCGAGGCCCAGGGCTGCCCGGCCGGAAGCCTCTCCTCCCACACACGGCCATCCCTTCATTCATTCCTCGCCGCCCCTTCTCCAGAGTCTAAGTCCTTGGCAGCCTCCAGGCAGAGCCCAGGTCTGGATGTGAATGGCTCCATCAGGCGAGGTGAGGCCGTGCTGGGCACAACAGTGAGACAGGCCCATGTCCACTGCAGGTGGAGTCTCTGGCTGCAGGGTGAGGCCCAGGCCCCACTCCATTGCCGCTGATACCCATGGGTGGTTCACACTGGCACAGACAACGCACGTTTTCGGCCAGGCTTCAGTGGGGCTGAGGGAGGTAGGGATGAAGTGATAGGGCCCAGATTCCCAAACGCTCCTCTCAGTGAGCCCCAGGGGTGGGAGCTGGGGGTCTCTGAGCCTCGGGGGCTGCAGGGAGGCTACACCTTGTGCTGAGGCCTCCAACCTCCACACCAGTGAGCTTGCTTAAATCATCCCGGATGAGGCACTGGAAGAGGAGAGAGAGGAGCAAGGGGCTCCAGGGCCGCCTACCCCAGGACAGCAACCACAGGCTGCCCACAGTGCCCACATGGCGAGGGCCCACCCAGAAGCAGGCTCTAGGGAAAGCAGGCCGAAACCAAAGGGGCTTTGCTGGGGGTGGGCGAGGGAGGAGGAGCTGTGTGGGGCTGAGCCACGGACTCCACAGGCCAAGGAGTGGGCCGGCACCCCTGTCCACACCTGCCGAGGCTGGCATCTGCCTACAAGACCAACTCACCGAAGGTGCCAGGCCCGTGCCAAAGGGCATCTCCTCTCAGCCTCTTCTTCGGTTCATAAAAACTACAAAAACCAGGTTAAAGAAAACACGAAATTCTCTGGAAATCCCAATGCTCTCCCCACTGGCACGAAGCAAGGAGCAGAGATGAGCCAGGATCACCTCCAGCTCCAGCTCCAACCCCACCCAGATTCCTGCCCACCACTGAGACAGTGGGGCCCAGGCACCAAGCCCCAGCAACCTCTCCAAAAAGCGGCCGCACAGAGCCTTCTGGGCCCCAGTCCCTCCACGTGCTGCCCAGGCACGGCTGCAGCTCGACCTCTCCCCCCGCTGGGTACGGGATCCTCTAGGCCACCACCCTCCTGACACCCAGGTCCCTGCTGCCCAAGTGCTCAGCCTCACCATGTCCTCGGGGCACACCCCTCCCAGCCAATGTCACATTCACGGAGACATGCAGGGGAGCAGAAATGTGCTGGTGTCATTTCCCCGTCAGTGGGACTTGGGCAGGAGAGGCTCAGCGCTTCCCAGGTGGGATCCGAACAGGCCCGCCCTGGCTGGCAGCCTAGCTCGCTGCTGGTCTATCCATTTGCTCAACGCTGTAGGTCTGGAAGAAAGTGCTGTGACAGAGGTCGTCCCCCTTGGAGGGCACAGGTGGCTGGCAGAGGGTGGGTGGTCAGCCACTACGCACCCCCACCTGGAAGAGCCCATGGTGGCCTTGCACAGGCTGCTCCGGCACCACGGCCCCAGGCTGCCACCACAGGCACCAAGGCGCATCAGGCACCGGGCAGTGCGGCTGGTCCTCCTGGGAAGGAGCGGGACCAAGGCATGTGCTCGTGGTGGTACCTGCCAATCGGTGCCAGGACTAAGGAGGATACATGGGCAGTGCCAGGCATCCCACACAGCGACTTCCAGGGCAGCCAGGATGGGGACGGTGGAAACCACACGCGTGGGGTCCATGTAAATGAATCCCAGGCTTCCTTCCAGACAGTTCTCAAAACAAAACTTAATTTTGGCAAAGGCAAAACCAGAGATGGGCGCGGTGGCTGACGCCTGTAATCCCAGCACTTTGGGAGGCTGAGGCAGGTGGATCACTTGAGGCCAGGTGTTCAAGGCCAGCCTGGCCAACATGATGAAACCCCGTCTCTACTAAAAATACAAAAACATGAAACCCCGTCTCTACTAAAAATACGAAAATTAGCTGGGCATGGTGGCGCATGCCTGTAATCCCAGCTACTCAGGAGGCTGAGGCAGGAGAATTGCCTGAACCCAGGAGGCGGAGGTTGCGGTGAGCCGAGATCGCGCCATTGCACTCCAGCCCGGGTAACAAGAGCGAAACTCCGTCTCAAAAAAAAAAAAAAAAATACAAAAACATTAGCCAGGTGTGGTGATGGACGTCTATAATCCCAGCTACTCAGGAGGCTGAGGCGGGAGAGTCACTTGAACCTGGGAGGTGGAGGTTGCAGTGAACTGAGATGGCGCCACTGCACTCCAGCCTGGGTGACAGAGCAAGACTCCATCTCAAAAACACAAACCAAAAAAAAGGCAATGTGTTTAACACGGGTGCAGTCATTCACATCTGGTCCTACTTTTCCAGGGCTCTGAACAAAAGAACAGAGAGCTCTCCCTGGGGACAGCGCCATGTCCTGGTTCTGATTCTGTCCCCAGCCGGGCAGCCCACACGGGGAAAGGCAGATGGGCTCCCGGTCAGGGTTACAGTGTGAGCCTTTCAGAATGCTTCCACGTATTTACTTACGGAAAGTGGTTCTGCAGCCCTTCCTGACAAAGGTGAGCAGCATACAGGGTGGCCCCGCAGTTAGCGGTGGGGTGGCTGGGAGGCCCCACTGTGGTCCTGACTCTCCCACCCCAGCCCTGCCACACCTTCCGAAACCCACCTGCCTCCCACCCACCAACACCTCGCTGCCTTCCCCACTCCCCGCAGGGCCCGCCAGTGCTCAGAACAGCACAAAGGTGTTGATGACAGGTGCCACACGCTCCCCTTTACCATCATCTCAGCAGCTGCCAAGCACACCCAGGGGCTGGGCTCCCCTCCCCCACCCTCCCAGCAGATGTTGGCATAAGCAGCCGTGGGCTCTGTCTGCACAGTGGGACTCCGGAAGCACTCTAGGGGTGTGGGGCACTGGGCACATGGGTCGCGTAGACCCCAGCACCCCTCCTCACCTGAGAAGCAGATACCTACCTACTGACCGGGCACCTGCTGGCTCCATGGGCACCAGCTACCTCCTCCTCCTGGCGTCGGGGTCTCTCCCTCTCATGGAGTAACGCAGTGACAAGAGGACCAGCCTGTAGCACGGAGCTGACTTGGCGGCCAGGCTGTGTGAAGAGGGGCTCTGGCCACTTTTCCGAGAGCTTGTTGTGTGCGTGTTAGCCTTTTATTTATTTATTCATTTATTTTTTGGAAGTAGCTCTGTCACCGAGGCTGGAGTGCAATGGCCCAACCTCAGTTCACTGCGACCTCTGCCTCCCAGGTTCAATTTCCCTGCCTCAACCTCCTAAGTAGCTAGGATTATAGGCGCCCACCACCACGCCCGGCTAATTTTTTGCATTTTTAGTAAAGATGGAGTCCCGCCACGTTGGCCAGGATAGTCCTGACCTCAGGTGATCTGCCCACCTCGGCCTCCCAAAGTGCTGGGATTGTCACACCTTCACCTTACAGTGATGCATTTCAGAAACAAGACTTTTGCCTGCAAAATGCCACTTTATCCTTCATAATGCTGATGTTGAAGAATTGCTTTTATTTTTAATTCATCTTAACAGTGCAACTTACTGGTGCTTACAGAGGACGGCAGGTGAGCTGTATTCAGTATGCTCATGTTTTATTTACGTAGGTGGCACTTAAGACACATGATGCGCTGAGAGTTACACTGTCCGCAGAAAGCATCAAATACCACTCCACTCCCCACCAAAACCAAAGAAACAAAGCCAACTCCTGGGCAACAGTTGTGTTAAATAAAATCACAGATCACGCTTGTTTCTGGCTCCCAAGCCTGGGTCACTGCTACAGGGATAGCGCCAAAGAATTCCCGGCTTCAATATCGCTAGATTAAAACTGCTGGTGTCTTCACATCACACCAAGCCTCTCACAGCGTGCTCACGTCCCAGAGGACAAAGGAAAAGCAACAGGAGCAGCAGGTCCTCATGGGAAAGGGAAGGACAGTGGGGGGGCGGGGGAGGGTGCGCGTGCAGGGAAGAAGGCAAGGCAACCCCGAATTCCGCTCCGGAGCAGCAGCAGTACACGATGCAAACGAAAGGGCTGCCAGCAGCGGGCAGCAGTGTGGTGACTCTGCGAGGCGACAGTGCTGGCAAACTGAACACTGGCCCGGCCTCCTGGTGCCACCTCTGGGGGTTCTGGGCATGCGTAATGACCCGCCAGTTTCCCCAGCACAGCCCTGACCCAGGAACGCGAGGGAGGGTGCTGCTGAGCAAAAACCTTTTGCCAAAAAGAATTATGGATCCCAGGGAAAAAAATGTGGAATCTAGCAAAACTTACACAATATTTGAATTGAATTTGGACTACCTGCAGGTGAAAATTAAAAGATGAAATAGAAGGAATGATTTTACATGTGGTGTGATTCATGATTCTGTTCGTGTGGCCATATTGCCCAGAGGAAAAGGTGCTCTGGCCGCCAGGATTCGATGTGTCACTTAGGGCATTCTCTAAGTCACACTCTGCTGAATTACCCGCTAATTCCAAACACAACACCGCCACGGGAAAGCACGTCGTTTAGTGAAAGCCACTCAGCTGTCTGCCCTGCTGTTCTCCTAACGCTACAAATACCCCAGCAGCATGCGGAGTGGTTGCGTGGCCAAAAAGAATGAAGAGGATCCGGAAGCTCTAGAGGAAAACGCTAGCAGATCGAGTGCTGGGAGAAGCAGAGGGAGAGCCGCGGCCCCGTCCCCGTCCCCAGTGTCCGTGCCCGCCACCTGTGCCATCAGCCCCGCCTCCTGCCCCCTGCTCTGACTGATCTGTGATTGCATAATCCTGCCGAGCGAGTGTGGCCACCAGGCAGTCTGACCCCACGCTGCCGCCTAGCGCGTGCGCACGGCCGCACGCCGAGCACGGTGGAGCGCCGGCTCTGGGGGCAGCGCGCCCGCAAGTCCGGTCTAGTGATTGCCTTTGGTCGACTTCTTCTTCTTCGACTCCTCTCTCTGCTTCTGCTTCTTCCTCTTGCCACCTTCTTTGAATCCTAAGGAAACACGGCTTGTAAAACACGGTGCGGACCAGCACTGCTTCCCCAGTAAGAGCCAGTGTGTTTTCTAAATGTCTCCCATGTTAAGAACAAAAAGCAGCAACGTGAGGTCATCTGCCTCAGCCACGCCTAAAGCTCGAAGCCTGAGCTGACTTTCCAAGGTGCGCGCCGAGGACGGCTCCCATTGTTCAGAGCACTTCACCACCCTGCAGAGAAGTGGGCGACTCCCCCTACCCGAGTTCAGCGGCAGAGCTGGAAGCCCACCCTGGGGACGGCTGCAGCTCAGGGTCACAACCCCGCCCTGGGCCCTCCTTCAGAGCACACCCGGGGCCTGCGCAGAGCCACGCCCACCTGTGGGGAGGGTGCCCACGGCATCTCCTACGCTCCCCCAGCGCTGGCCACAGTGAGGCCTTTCTGCAGGCAAAGCCTTGCTGTGGACCAGCCTCATGCTTGTGGGCTCTGTGGCATCCAGCATGAAAGTCCCGTTTCTTACTTGAGGAAAGTGACCTTGCATCTCCCTGCTGCTGAAGTCAACGGCAGCCACTGACCCAGCTGAAGAGCAGGGAGAAAGATGCCCACCCTCTTAACAGTCGATGCAAGGTGACACAAATACAGGCCTGGCTGCAGCCCTGCAGAAATAGTCTCAGACTCAGTGCGTGTCCACGTGGGTGCAGAAGACGGGCCTGATGTTGAGTCAGGCAACAACTGTCAACACGACCGACGTGACTGAGCACAGGGCTCACGACCGGCAGCAGGCAGATGGAACTGGGTCCCACATGCACGGGCCCCCGACCTGCCAGGAAGACCCTCTGAAGACCCGCACAACCTCTCGTGGTGGCGACGTGCCCCACAGGGAGGAGTCTGCTCACAACCCTCTTGGGGACCCAAGGCCCCACCCACACTCAGGACTCGCCCCAGGGAATCACAGTCATAGGTGGGCCAGGTACCAGGCTTCAACCAGACACATCTTCCCCGCCCAGCGGATGGCCGCCACACTGACCAACATGTCACAGGGTGCAGGCCCACTGAATGTGGCTCGCACACATCCTGCACCACAGGGGGGCAGACACACACGGACTTTCAAATGTGCTGTGGCTCTCACCACAGAGCACTGCCCGGACCCAGAAGCTCTCCACGGAAGGGAACGTGCATGCAGACGGGGACGAGACTGCAGGTCCAGTCCACACCTGCAGCCACACAACATGCCATACTTGCCCACGGCCTGTGCGTGGCAGAGGCTGCCACCTCAGGGTGCTTTCCATGCAAGCGGGTGCATCCTCACCACCCTACACGAGCAGCACAAGATACACATGCTGTGAAACACCAGGCCTTCCATGCTGCGTGTTTAGGAAGCGGGCCTCAGTTACGGAAGGGAAGAGAGGGGGCTGCCTGCCACTGGCCGCTGTGCAGAGGCCGCCAGGGACCTGCTTCCAAAGTCAGGAGGCGGCTCTTTGGAAAAGGCACAGGAAAGGAAGCGGGAGAAGCCAGGAGATGCCCCTGGAGCCGCGGGGCGAGTAAGTTTGATATTTTGAGGAGTGTATCTCAAGTGAGCGCTCATTTCCAGCCTAAAAAATATCATGCCCTAGATCCGCCCAGGCGTTGGGGCCGCACACCTGGCTGAGTCCTGAGTGGAAGCTTGCTCACTCCCGGGAGCTGGGACAGGACCTGCTCCATGCAGGGACCGGTCGGATGGCTGCAGGCAAAAGCAGGAGCCGTCAGCACGGCCAGGGCGGCCGGGCCTTTTGCAAGAACCTGCCCAGGACTTCCAAATCCCGCAAAAAGACGAGAGGGGGAATCTTCCAGGCACCCAGAGGCCTGGCCAAGAGTCACGGGTTTTCTGTGACAAGGGGCTCAGGGAAAACGAGACCTTCAGCGCTCAGGCTGTCTCCCCCAGCCTGCAGGGGCAGAGCCCTGCTCAGCCTCCTCCTCGTCACCCACTAGCGCCCGGACACCACGGGCTGGGTGAGACAGTCACAAACAGCCTCTGCAGAGACCAAAACCATCTGCTGTGCTATTCGCTCCAGCTCCGTCCCCAGCTCTGCGGGGGTTTCTCGAATCTTCCTTTGAGTCAGCTTTGCTGTCTCTCAGTAAGAACTTAAGTACAAGTCTCTGGCATGGGGGCAATCGCGTCTGTCAATCTTTGAGGGTTACTCTGGTAGCCTCAAGATCTCATGAAACAACTGGAAACAAGAAAACAAACGAGGAAAAGCCGAGGGACAGAAGCCCACAGAGGACCCGGCGGAAACAAAAGCCTTCACTTGCCGCTTGTGTGCAAGGATCTGTGTGGGCTTCAGCAGCCAACCGGGTTCCCCTCAGAAATGGTGTCCTGCCGGAGGATGCAAACTGGCAAAGCCACGAGGCGCGGGGACAGCGGCTCTGCCCGTGCCATCGGTCCTGCCCCCGGCCACGGCCACGGCCGGCCGCAGGCCCGGAAGGAGGAGAACGGCCCACTTCTGAAATGAGTGTGTGGCCCGGGGCCTCTGCCGGGTGCTGCTCACTGTACTTTCCCCCGCCTCCTCCAGGGGACCACACCCGCACCCCACATTCTGGGGGACTGGGAAGTCACAAGGACCCTTGCAGGCCAGGCTTCCGGTGGCTCAGGGATGCCACAGCCATGCCCCTGTTCTATCCCGCACCTTGCAAAAACCCACCGACAAACACCGCCCCACTCCCTCCTGCCTTCGGACCCTCAGCACCAGGAGCGCACAACAGACCCGGGGGCTTTCCAGCAGTCGCTCAGCACACAGGGAGTTCTTTCTAGGTGCATGCAGCCTGCAACTGCCTCTGTGTGTCACTCGGTGACACAGCACAGACTAGCATGGCAAAGGCTGGCGCGGCAGGCGGGAGGGGCTGTGCCCACCGCGGGAAGCGCCTGCCAAGGCTCTTGAGGCTGGGTGCGCCTTCCGTCCCCCTCAGAGGTGGCCACTGCTTCATCCGGGAAGGGCTGCAAGGGGCTAATTATTCAAGAGAAAGTTCTATGAAGGGCAGAGGAGGGAAGCCACCCCCTTCTTTTATGTCCTGCTGAGACAGTGCTGTTCGGCCCACGTCCACAGACGTGACCTCACGACATCACCTAGCTCCCCACACGCGGAGATCAGCCACCGTGTCCTCCTGCCGACAGGAGTGGCTAGGTCACCTCGCTGCTGCAGTGACAAGAACCAGAAGCAGCACAAATCCCTCCAACCGAGGCGAGAGTCACACTACACTGGCCCTGGGCTTTCGGATGCGGCCGGGCCAAGCCTGCATCCACAGCACATCCTCAGGCGCCCCAAAACTTCTCTGGGACACTCACTTAGAGACTATGCAGCTCCCTAAGAGGTGGGAGGGGGGCAGGGCGGCCGGGAGCCCCACAGCGGGTGGCGGGCAGGCTCCGCTTCACAAGGAGGCCTGACTCAAGGGGGTCTTTGGTTCTGCACCCCGAGCTGAAGAAGGCACGAGAAGGTGAAGCTGACGGAGGGCAGGGGCAGTCACAGCCCCCAGCAGTGCGAGACCACCTGGCCTGAGCCACAGGCCTCAAGCTCTGTACTCAAAGCTACGAAAAGGCACATCTATGGTCAAAGCAGCACCTGGCCCTGCACAGCAGCTCACATCCTCTGCAGAGCCACACGCTGTGTGCAGGGCAAGGGGACCCCGTTTTAATGGTGGGGGCCCGGAGCCACGGGCTGTGGGGCCTGAGGGCGGGCGGGGAGCGGAGCGAAGCCACGTCCTCCCGCCCCGCACAGCCGCCCCACCCGCTCAGGTCAGAACGCAGCAGCCCAGGCGCCGTTTCCGTCCCTGCCGTCCTCTGGCACCCGGGGAAGTCTCACTCTGGGCCCGCTCCACGGCCTCCTCCCTTTGCACACCTGCTGCGGACGCGAGGGAGTCCCAGGGCCCGGACACCCGAGGTCGGTCCTGCTCGCCCTCCTCCTCATAGAGCCCGTGGGGCGCGTGTCTGAACAGCGAGGCGGGCCGGGTTGGCTTCGGCGGGCGCAGGCCGGCGGGCTGGGCTGGCAGGGCGTTCTGGCCTCTCCGCGCGCGCTCCGCAGCGAGGGCATCCTCATCGGCCATACCTGCAAGCACAGCGGGAGAGGCATGAGTGAGCGGGGGAGGCGGGGGGCGGGGGCTGGCCGCGCCATCTCTGTGAATCCAGCCGTGTCACCTCTGTGGAGGAGAAAGAGGTTACTTCGTTTCTTCACGGGCTCCACTGGGGCCAGAACTGAATCCTTAAGGGGGAAAATAAAGAGTCCCCTGAACATCGCACCTCTCTCTCCTGAAAGAAGTGGCTCCCCCGCCGACCCCCTGCCACCTGCTTTAGCACAATCAACACGCCCCTTCCAAGAGTGTGTCCCACCGAAACCACGGTCCAGGGCTAAGAAATTCAATTGTCAAAACCAGCCAGCTGGGCCACCCTGAGGAAGAAGGGCGCTGCGTCCCGTCGGTGATTTCCTCCTCAGAGTCCACACACAGAAGACACCCCCTTTCCTCCTCATGCTGGAATATTCTGTGGTGGCAGCAGCGGCGCCCACAGCAGCCACACCCCGCCCAGGGCAGGGCCATCCGGCCGCCCCCGTGCAGGTGCAGCCACAGCTCCAGCTCCAGCCCGGCACCACACACACACCCAAGACTCCTCGGTGCTCTGAAAGCCGTGCTGGTATCAGTCTTTTGAAATACAGAAAAAGTCATCGGAACGCCATGCATTGAAAAAAAGAAATACAGAAAAAAATGTTTTGCCCACTGATGCATACGAGGAATAAAATAAGCAAACGATATTCAACACTGAACATTCAACAATTCGATTATCTCCACCGTGACTCTCCGAATGTCTGCATGGCAGTTGCCACATGGACGTGAAGGAGGCGGCCGGGTCAGAGCTCTAGGAGCAGGAACGCGACGCCGTGGGTGGTGGGATGCCTAGTCCCTCTGCAGAGTCTAAAATGGGTCACACCCAGTGCTTTGGACGCAGAGTCTACCCCAGAGGTGGCCCGTCCTCCTGGCTTCCCGCAAGCATGGGGAGCACTCAGCCACTGAAACATGCCTGAAACGCCAACGGACTGAGACTGACGTGCGCTGCAGAGCTTCTTCAAGGAAACTGGCCCATAAGCCACTTCCAGTGCCGAGCGCAGGGCGCGGGGTCGGAGAGGGGCTGAAATGTGGCCCACCCAGAACGGAGAACAGGCTGCGAGGTCAGGAAGGACCTTGCTCTCAGGCTGTCTCCTCGGGCCAGGGCTCCAGTCCTTCAGGACCACAGTGCTCACCGAAGGAGGGCCCTCACTGTGTGTGAAAATTCATCTCCAAGGAATACCAAGACCTGGGCAATCTGCAACCTGCCGCCTGTGTGTCCCAGAGGGGAGGGCGAGCCGCACGCAACGCTGGAGCCGTGGCACGGTGCCCCGGGGGCTCAGTCGCTTCTGGAACTCGGCAAACGCAGGAGGAGGTGCAGGCCTGAGACATCGCCTTCTACCCCAATCCTATTTCCCCACACTTTGAACACAGATTCATGATTTTTGGGACCATTTAACAAAGCATGGCAAACCCAGGGTGCAAGGTTTCACAAACAACACCCCACTGCCGACAGCCGTCCTGTAGCCCTGCCAGGAGACTGCGGGACCTCTGCTGAGACGGCCACACCAAGAGAGCGCACGCAGGTTTCTCAGCATCAGGCGGGACGGAACCGCTGAGCTGAGAGGGGTCACCTGCCCGAGGCCTGCTCCTCCTTCGGGACCTCCGTGTGCTCACCTGCAGAATGAAGGTGGCCTGGATGCTGTCTGCGATTCTATGACTTGAGTGAAGGACGAGCACCTGGCACACCAGCCATGCACACACCGCCTCCTCGATGCGTCTGCGGCCGGAGGAAACGTGCCAGGGCCCCCGGACCAGGCTCCAGTCGCAGGCTGGGAGCGACGGCTCTGTGTCGGATGCCCAGGACACACCCAGGACGCAGCTTCTCAGCAAACCAAACTGAGTCCCAGCTGCCTGAACCCTTGCGGGAGAGTGGGACATGTGGGGACAGCGCTGCGAACTCACTGTTGTGTGGCAACGTGCCTCCAGACCTGACACAGAAACTCACAGGAGCCATGTCACCGAGCCGCATCTGAGGCTCCTCCAGCCACACCTATGGACCCTGGCCGCCGCGGCCCCCAGGACACCAAGGAAAGACCCAGCACAGGTGCTCCCAGGATGCCGCATCCCACCGCGGAGGGACAGAGGAGTGGAGGGACCCACGTACGCAGCAGCAAAGGGCCCACCAGAGCCGGCCAAGCCCGGCTGCCTCAGGACCGCACCTGACTTTTAAAAATTACACTCTGCCAGCTAACGTGGAACCTTTGAAGAAGAAATTTAAAGTTTTGGGTGTGTGACACACTGAACGGGACCCTTAACATCCATAGCTGTGAAGTCCTCCTGGGCAGGGTGACACGGCCGAGCTCTGAGACCGCCGGAAGAGCCGCCGCTGCCTGCCCAGCCACACATCCCGGTGCCCGGGAGCTTCAGAGCCAAGCGAAAGCCACTTACCTGCCCAACTCCACTCAGGGGGAAACAGGGACAGTATCGCCCCACACATCCCGGCTCATCCCAGCTCTGGGAAGCCCAGTCTTGCCGACAGTTGCAATTCTGCACTTCCAGCTCGGCCACAGTTGGGACTTCCTGCCTCAGCTGCGCCTGCGCCCAGGTCCACAGGTGAAAACACGCCCTTGGGTGGGTGTCCAGGGTCCCATCTTCAGAGCACTGTGGATCAGCTGGGGCTTGCTATCGCCTGGGGAGGGCCAGGCTGCGGGTCCAGCCTCAAGCCGGGCATCCCAGCCTCCTCCCACCACGACGGCAGAGAAACGCGCTGCCTTCAGAGTTGCTCAGGGAGGTTCTGCTTTACTGTCTGTTTAGAAAACGGCCCCGCCGAGACCTAAGCCTGATATTTTGAAAACAAGTACTGAAGACACCTGCAGCATCCAAAGCTCCCTGCGTCATCTCCGCAGAGGCTGAGGCCACTGCCAGGCGCCGGCGCTCCTTCCAACCCCCGGCCGCTGCGCTGGCAGCCGCAGGCTCAGAGTGGCCCTGGAGTGACAGGAGAGGAAGGCGCAGGCTCCATGGCCATGTCCACAAGGCAGCCTGGCTCCTGCAGACGCCTGTGCCCCTGTACTCTCCAGCACAGCTCAGCTGCTCAGCCACCACCACCAGCCACAGGTCCAGGCAATGCCCAGAAGCCTCCTACCCTCCCTCCGTGAGGAGGGCTGGGGCTGGCATGCATGGCAGGTGGATAGCAGCTGCTCAGGTCTGGTCTCTGAGCAAACCCTTCTGGCCCCAGCAGCAGGACAGTCCCCACCCCAGCCACCCACAGGGCCTGTGTCCCCAGGAGGAACACACAAGGGACTCGTCAAGGTTCCCCTGAAACCTCATGGGTAGTGGTGAGGTGCCAGGAAGTGACTTGGGGAAGATGAAGGTGGAGATAAGGACCTCCTTATCCACAGCTCCCTGCATCGCCTGGGGAGCCACGTGGCGCGTTGCTGCTCCAAACCCCCATGCCCAGCCTCCCGTAGGCACGGTGGGGTGCCGGTGTGGGCAGGGAGCAGCCACCTCACGGCTAGGACACAGAGGCACAAGCAGGGCTCATCTGCCATCTGACAAGAGAGAGACACAGTTGGTCTGCACAGGAGAACTGCCCCACTCGGCCTCAATGGTTCTAACTCAGGCGTCCCCAAACTTTTTACACAGGGGGCCAGTTCACTGTCCCTCAGACCGTGAGCACATACTGTGCTCCTCTCACTGACCACCAATGAAAGAGGTGCCCCTTCCTGAAATGCAGCGGGGGGCCGGATAAATGGCCGCAGGCCGTAGTTTGGGGGCGCCTGTTCTAACTGTTCTAAGCCAAGGCCCCAGGCATTCTGCTGCTGTGCCCGCCCCAGCTCTGTGCCCGGCACTGCCGGAGGCTCTGTTCACCACCTCACTGGCAGGCGAAGCTGTCGCCTCCGAGATTCTAACCTGCACTGTGGACAGAGCGGTCCCACCCCAATGCCTCCCACAGCTTTCCAGCAAGAACGCTGAAAGAGAAAGAGCAAGTGGCTGGAGAGCAGTCACCGGCGGGCAGACGGCTGCGGGAGAGCCAGAACAAGCACCACCCCATGGCCCTCGCCTCGGCCTCGGCCTCCCGGTCCCTCCCAGGCCAGAGTTATCCCATCTCCCTCCTGGCAGCAAGGGGATCAGCCCTGAGGTTCGGGTTTAGCTGGCACAGGATGCAGCCTGGTGCAGTGTGTCAAGGTCCCAGGAGACTGCACAGTGAGCTTCACGCCGTGACACGCTCTCCAAAGCCCCAGGGCCTCACAGGCTGACAGGGCCATGGCGGGAACCCTGGGGTCCCCAGAGACCAAGGCAGGTGTTCCTAGAAACCCTGCACCCCAAGCCATCTGCCTCCCACTCACCATGAGGAGGAAGGAGCTGGGGCTGCTGATGCTGAGAAACGCGCCTCACGGGATATGGAAGTGCCCAGACCACACTCCTGCCCGAGTCGCAGGATGGGACGAGCCAGCCTCATGCACAGCCTGGAAGTAGGCGGCACGCGCAGGGCTGAGGACACACGAACTCAGCACACTTCCCGCTGCAACTCCCAGGACGCGCTCTCAAGCACCCGGTTAGAACCTGCGCGGAGCCCGCAGTTACCCGACGCCTCCTTGTCGGACTCAATTTCCTCACACCACCTTCTCATCTCTACCCTCGCTGCTTCCCACGTGCGGGAGGCCTGGAGACAGCGCTCTGCAGGCGTGTGCGCCAAGGCGAGCCTGCCGGAGACCCCAGGACCCTGCCTCCAGCGCTGGGCACACCCGCCCTTTGGTCCTGAGGATTCTGTCCTCTAGTGCAGGGAAGGGCCCAAACCACACCAATGTGTTCACACAAGGAACTGTTACAACCACTCCCGTAAAAACACTGCACAGGCTGGGCACAGTGGCTCGCACCTGTAATCACAGCACTGTGGGAGGCTGAGGCAGGAGTTTGAGACCATTTTAGGTTGAAGATCAGCTTGGGTAACACAGAAAGACCCCACCTCGGCCGGGCGTGGTGGCTCAGGCCAGTAATCCCAGCACTT